GGTGAACGCCGGACCGTTGACCGGTCCGTGCTATCAGCGCCATGACGCGGTTGCCGTAGCGGCTCGCTTTCTTATCGCGCGCTTCACCGGGAGTTGGTGCCTGGATCGAGCGCTGTTCTCAGCTCTGCTACTAGTCCCAGCAGAAAGCGCGAGGATCGGGGAGGAGCCTTTCAGACGTTATTGGTAGACAATGTGATTTAGTAGTTTTTTGTTTTTTTTTGTTGTGATGTGGGCTAAACCGGAAGGCTGCGGAACAAATAAAAAACTAACTTATACTTTCCGCTTCTCGAAAAGAAGAATACGATTTTGTTCCATTTGTGTGATGGCAGCAACCACGTCGCACTTGCGACGATGTTATATTAGCCACATTACAAAGAGGGCATCATTATTCATCCTTTTCGATGATTAACACATTGCAGTGGACGCCAAAATAATTTGTTAGAAGTTAGGGCTCTGCTGGAACGCAGAGCCCTAACTCTGCTCGTCCAACTGGGTGCAGAACGTAGACTCGTCGCTGAAGATGACGTGGGTCCAGTCCTCCACAGTCCGATTCTGAAGAGAATGGGCGAAGTCAAGCCGCAGCTGCTTGTGCCTTTCAGTCAGCAGCGGCGATTGGCAAGTTACACGGCTGTATAGGCTAGCTTGGTAGAGGCGTCTCCGATTCCCCTAGCAGCGCGGAAAGGGTCGCCCAAGGCTGCTTCGAGGATGTGACGGTCCTCTGTTGCTGGCAGTTGCACGGGGACAGCGACGGGGGGGGCATCGTCTAAGCGTCCATCGTGATCCCGAAATGCAGCAATAATCCTTTGGACGGTTTTGACGGGCCTTCCAACTCGGCGCGATATTTCCCGCCGTGAAAGTCCTTCCTGAGCAAGGACAACGATCTGAACGCGCTCATCCCTTAAAACTCGAGGCGGCATTTCTGCTGAAGCGCTCGAAGACGAACAGTGAACTGAAAAATAAATGTTTAATGGGCGAACTTGTGCCAAACCAAATAAGTAAAGAAAGAGCGTCGAGGCATCAGAAAAGCAGGCGGCGATTCGGCGGCGTAACAGAGAGCGAGAGCGAGACTGACTCGACAAGGTCGCAGGCAGCTGTTTATCTACAGTGCGTCGCTATCTCGAAAGTTCGGCAAAGAAAGTTCGAGCATCGCGCGCTCGGGTGAGGATGACCTGGCACTTTCGAGAACAAGAAAGCGGGGAAAGTTCCGTCTGGTGCAAGAATGTACGCGAATCTTCTAGAAGCCCGTGACTGAGCGTTGCTTGCTCGGCCCTGTGGGCGGCAATATTTATTGCTGAATCACAGCCCATTTCACATTTGTTGCAGTTATTAGCAATCGCTCATGAATGAAGAAAGCGGTTGAGTCACGTATAAACCATGTCAAACAACGTCCGCTCTAGTTCACTTGCAATGTGCAAATCGTTTGCCGGCAATGACGTGGGCACGGCGACCACAAAAAGCGATGCCGAAATCGGAAACCCACTTCTACACTTTCAGCAGGGAGTAGCAGCAGAGCTGAGAAAAGCGCTCGATCCACGTACTTACTCTCGGTGAAGCGCGCGATAAAAAAGCGAGCAGCCACGGCAGCCGCGTTATGGCTCTGATAGCACGAACCGGTTAAGGCTCCGAACCGGTCGGGGGTCCGGCGTTCGCCTTCATATCGCCTGAGGGTGTACTTAGTTACTTTCAAGGAATAGTAATGAGTCAGGGTATTTTGTTACTTTTCAAGAGTAACGTGTACAGCACCGTTTAAACAGACTCGTTTTAATTCTAACCTGAGTAGGCGTCTATTGCAACAAAGGCGTGAGCACCGTTGCTGGGGTGTCTATCGTTGCCGTAGGTCGGCATTTTAGAGCCCCTTCATTCACCATCACATCACGAACAAAATCACGTCTCCAAATTCATTCGCATTCACGTCACAAGGTACTCCGACCTCCCAAAGTCACAGCCCTTCACATCCCGGCGTTCAGCCACGCCAAAACTTCATCCCCTTCACACCACGGCTTTCAAACTCCGCCGAGAATTCATCCCCTTCACATCACGGCGTTCAACTGCGTCAAGAATTCATCCCCATCACATCACCGCCACCTCCGAATTCACGGAGTCATTCACCATCAGATCACCAATTCACGAAGTCATTCACTATCACCACGATTTTATAGGAATTCACCATCGTGAATTCATCGGAATTCGCCATCACATCACGAATTCACCATCACTTCACGAACTCATACCAATTCACCATCACTTCACGAATTCATCCGAATTCACCCTCACTTTACGAAGTCATCCGAATTCACCATCACATCATGAATTCATCCGAATTCACCATCACCTCATGAATTCATCCGAATTTACCATCACATCATGAATTCATCTGAATTCACCATCACATCATGAATTCATCCGAATTCACCATCACCTCACGAAGTTATTCACCATTACAGTCCACACGAATTCACCGGAATTCACCATCACATCATGAATTCCGCAGAATTCACGAAGTCATTCGGGTTCATTCTGACTAAATTCGACTTCACGGCTGGTAGCCCTTCACGAGTTCGCTGTTCTTGCGGAATAGAACTGTGGCGCCTTTTTGTGTCCGCCACTTGAAACCAGGACCTTACTCCGTCGGGGAAGTGGGCTATTTCGAGTGCGCGAAATGCAAAGCACATTGGTAGAGCGCCAACCCAGCCAATGCCGCGCTGCGATCGTGTCACGTGAATGTGCTCCGTTGCCCCGCTGTGGGATACAGGAGCTCAATTGATTCGCAAGGAACCGCTCAGAACAATGGCAAAATTAAATGCCAAGTGCCAAAGAAAACGACTAGCCCCCTCCCCTCACCTTACAGCTGTTACTGCGAAAGTGCTAGACAAAGGGCCACCGCGCTGAGGCGCGCCCGGCTACGCAGCGAGACTGGTGCCCAAACCGCTAAGGTCAAATGGGTCCTTGTCGTTTGCGGTGAAGGATGAAAACAATCAGCAAGGAAGCAAGCACCTGCGTAACATGGTTTGCGCCTATTCTGAATTCATAACCATATTCACTATCATGTCGAGAATTAAGCTCACGGTGTTACTTCCCATCACGAACTTATCAAGTTCACGAGCCACTCACATCACAAATTCATCGCGTTCACGAGCCATTCACCATCACGTCACGAATTCAATGAGTCATTCACATCACAGTGAAATCTATTCAGTTCACGAAGTCATTCACAAGAACAACACATCATGAGTTCATTCAAATTCACGAAGTCATTCACCATCACACCACGACTTCATTCAACATCACATCACGAATTCATTCAAATTCACGAAGTCATTCACCATCACATCAAGACTTCGTTCAACATCACATCACGAATTCATTCAGATTTGTGAAGTCATTCACCATCACATCACGACTTCATTCACCATCACATCACGAATACATTCAAATTCACGAAGTCATTCACCATCACATCACGACTTCATGACTTCATTCACCATCACATCACGAATTCATTCAAATTCACGAATTCATTCACCATCACATCACGAATTCATTCAAAGTCAGAAAGTCATTCACCATCACATCATGATTTTTTCCAATTTCAAGAATTCATTCTGGGCCATTCAGATTCATGCCGTGAACGTGAATGAAGGTGAATGAGCGAGTTCATGAATGAATTTGCCGAGGTCGTTGCTAGAGTGTCCTCCTCCCCCTCTTTTTTTTTTTCCTCGCCCCGTTGGGCGTCCAGGCGAGCGGATGCAGGCGGCACGGCCATGTCAGCGCGGCGCGGCCATTTCACGACTCATAAGAAGTGGTTAGTTCTGAAGTCGCTTGGATACTTCTTTTACAAGTAATGACAACCATTACATATGACAAAGCATATTTCTCTGGAACAAAATGGCGACATTCAGTTTAAACCTGCACCGTCACGCAGCGCTTCAAAGGATGTCGCTACATGTAGGAAGCTGTTATCTAGGGACTGTACTTAGGTGTGCATAACCTCTCTAGGTATTTCTCTAAATAAAACCCGATTACTTTTTTTTTTCGGTTTCACACGCTCAATTATATACAAAATGTCCCCCCCCCCCCCGCCCCCCCCCCCCCCCCCCCCCAAAAAAAAATACAGTGCTGTTGTTTCTTTTTTACAAAAAAAAAAAAAAAATAAAATAAGGTTACGCATTTCCGAACGCTCGTTCTCCACCCAAAGATAGTGCTAGAGGTCCGAGCCAGATGTCAAAGTTTCAGCCAGAAACCGATATTTTATTCAAAAGTTATAATAGATGTTTTTAACATTTCAATGCGAAAATGGAGCCCATTTTCACCCGCTTTCGGTTTCTAGTGCCATAGAGCTCCACGTATTCCAGAGCTCCGTGGGCGACCATTTTCTCATTGACATTTTAAAAGAACTCACTTATAACTTTCGAATAAAATATCGGCTCGTGCTGAAAATTTGGCATCTCGTTCGGAGCTCTAGTGCTACCTTTGAGCGGATATTGAGCGTTGGGCGATTCGCAGTTTATTTTTGCGGTTAGAAAAACCCTGTAAATTTTTTTTGGGACAACTCAAAATAAAGCAGTGATAAAGTCCAGGCGAGCTGATAATTAATCGACATCTTGTTATCGCTAAGATAGGAAACGATAAAAAAAAAAAAAAAAAAAAAACAACGGACGAGCACAACAAAATCTCAAGATTGAGATTTTGTTGTGTTCGTCCGTTTTATTATCGTTCCCCATCTCGATGTTTACAAGATGTCGATAAAAATTAAGACAGAATTGAGAGATGTTTTCACCTCGATTCAGGTAACGCAGACGTCCAGCGTGTTCACGCCTAAAGCATGTACACTAGGAATCGCTTGCACGACACAAAAACGTCATTATAAAAAAGTGCAAAAAACAAAAACAAAAAAAAAAGATGCGTCGGCCGGGAATCGAACCCGGGTCAACTGCTTGGAAGGCAGCTATGCTAACCACTATACCACCGACGCATTTTTTTTTTTATTTATTACATGGAAATATTAGACAACTGCAAGACAAAAACATGGTAAGGTTATCACATCCCAATTTCCATTACATATGATTCTCTATCTTATACTCTCATAGGCTCATTGTCGTGAACAGACAGAAGGAACAGAAAGGAATATTAAATAAATACAAAATGCACGTGCTAAAAGTCAGGTAGATTAATGCATCGATCAGAAAGAACATACCAATCTGGCCGCTCGTCAAGGTAGTTAAATACATTTCGTACATGCGTTACGGTTTCAATGAAATTTGATTTGGTAGATCGGGGAGGGTCCGCATTCCTGTCAATCATTCTTGTTTTCCAGAGGCTATGCAACCCCATTAATGTAAACAGATCGTAAGGAAAGCTATCATTCAATTTTAAGGGCAAAAAACGTATTGTGTAAGCATTGATATTCAAGTCTTTTTTCAGTGTCCTTTGTAGGACATCCCAGAAAAGGTAAGCATCAGTGCAGAAAATAAAACAATGCTCTATAGTTTCCGGTTGGTTACAAAGGCGACAATTGATTGACCACGGCACAAAAATTCCACGTTCGCGAAGCCAGGGTTTTACAGGTAACGTAGAAGTATGGAGCTTAAAGAAGAATGACTTTGCTGTAGGCGAGACATGTAATTTTCGGACACGCCTGAGGACATCTTTTCCAGGGCCTTCACTATATATGCTTCGATACAAAGGTTCAGGGAACGTTATGTCAATCAGATCAGCATATAAGACTTTGCGTGAAACCGTAAATAAATGCTCCAAAGAAAAACGAGCTGTTAGAAACTCAATCGCGCTCACTACTTCTTTGAGGTACCCCACAGGACGTGATGTGCTTGCGGGTATCGTTGTAACCACCAAATAAGGTAATGCACTCGCGAGTTCCGTCTGTAAGTAAGTGCGAAGGAAATGATGAGATGCAGTTTTGAAGAATAAAAATCGAGATATTACTTGCTTTAGAAAGATGTGTATGAGTCCGAGACCGCCGACATCGATGGGGCGAAAGAGGTTATCACGTCTTGTAGGTTCCCAATTGGAACTCCATATAAAAGTAGGAAACACTCTGTGGAATTTTTGAATATGGCTTCTGGTACAGCAAATCACTTGAAGTATATACCAAAGTTTGGCGGCGAGAAACATATTGCAAGCCTTAGCTCGCCCGAAAACTGACCACTGGTTGGATTTCATCTTGTCAGCTTGACATTTGATTTTCGACACCCGTTCAGTCCAGTAATGACCATTGTTACGGATACTGTTAAGAGGAACTCCTAAGTACTGAGGGGCAATGCAGCTCCACGATATTTCAGCATACTCTGATGGTGTTGTGGCCCATTGCCCGCACCAGAAACCTACGCTTTTCTCCTTATTAACGAGTGCGCCGGTTGCGTCACAGAAGTTTTGTGTTATTGTAAGGACATTGTCGACGCTGCGTTTATCGGCACAAAAGAAAGCTATATCGTCTGCATATGCCAATACTTTAACTTCAGAAGAGTAGAGACGGAAACCTTCCACGATAGGGCTGTTAAGTACACTTAAACATAGGGGTTCTAAATAAAGCGAAAATAAAAGCGGTGATAGCGGACATCCTTGTTTGACGGACGATTCCAGACTAATTCGATTTGAAAGTGAACCGTTAACTATGAGCCTGGTGGCACAGTTACGGTAACATAACTTAACACCCTTTAAAAGTGTTGGTCCTGGGTTTACATGACGTAAAATAGCTAACAGGAAAGCGTGGGACACGCGATCAAATGCCTTAGCCAAGTCTACCTGAACCATGGCGACTTGACCGGCATGAAGAACGCAGCTTTCTATCACTGAACGCGCAACGTGGATGTTAGTTTGTATACGTCTCCCCCTAATCCCACAGGTTTGGTGGTCTCCAACAACAGATGACGTGACACACTGTAATCGTTTTGTCAAAATTTTAGCAAAAATTTTGTAATCTACGTTGCATAAACTAATTGGTCGATAGCCTTCAATGAGCTGTAATTTGTCTGGGTCTTGACTTTTAGGGATCAACACAGTATGGCTCTCATAAAATGACGGCGGTAAAGTTCCCATCTCGTACGCCTCCAAAAACACCTCAAGTAGGAAAGGACATAGCAAGTCCTTGTATGTCTTGTAAAACTCTGCAGGGAGCCCATCAGGTCCTGGTGTTTTAGAATTTGGCAACTCGTCTACCGCGCATCGAACTTCTTCCAATGTTACTGGTCCACTGAGGAGATCTCGCTGAAGCTGCTTTACCTCGGGCATTAAAGGGGTCATGAAACGCTTTTCCAACTTTTTCCTGTTTAGCTTTCCTCCTCAACTCATAAATCGCGCATTCCACCAAAAGAGTTAAACAAGACGAAAAAGGGGAGACCCCTCTTTCTCGCACTGTCGCTTGTGTAATCCGGACACATCCATTCTCCCCCTAGAAGATTAGCCCGTCGCTCAAAATTCACACAAAAGTTGCTTTCCCCACCCCGTTCATTCCGAAGCTGACAGTGCTGTTGAAGCTACGTACTCGTTGGGCCAGCCACACTTGCCACGTGAGCGTGACAAATGTGGCTGCAGAGAATGAAGTCAGGTGATGAAAGGGAGGCGGCTGATTGGTCCGGCAAGCGCGTAGCTTCCACCACAATGTCAGCTTAGGGGTGAAGGGAATAAGTGAGGTCCGGTTGCGTGTGACGTCAGTTTGGACCCGATGATGCGCTTTTGGGACCGCGGATGTATCACAGTGAAAAGGCAGAGAGGTCGCGAAGGGGAGGAGGTACGAAATAGTCCGCTCTGTTTTCAAATTTTCGCACTGAAAGTCAGGCTTTTGACTTTCTACCTTTTTTCGTTTGGTCCACTGAACAATGTGCTATTAGTAAAATCCCAATCTAAAATGATTTATCCCAACCCAAAAATCGTTTCATGGGCCCTTTAAAGAAACCAAGTTTTTTGCCAACTGGATGTCTAAATGTTGCGTTTTTCCAAAGAGACTTTTGTAATGCAACTCAAATGCCTTCATGATGATTTCTTCATTGTCTGAGAGTGTCCCATTACATTCTAAAACTCTAATTTTCTTTGAAAGGCCGTTACGCCTCTCATCATCGAGTGCTCGGCGCGTGGGTGTCTCTGAGGACAAGAAACGCCTACACCGGGACCGTACTAGTGCACCGTGTAAACGAATGTGCTCGTATTGCTGTAGCTGACATTTTACACGAAGAATGTCTTCTTGGAACATACCAGGTGTTTCGCACTCCAACTCGTGAAGCATGCATAGATTTTTCAAAAGTGTAGCTTCTTCCTTCTTTGCATGAAAGGATGCAATGCACGCGCATTCGATTGCTTCATTCTTAACTTCCTGTTTGAAGGAGTCCCACTGAGCAAATATGCCAAATTTCTGATTCGTTGACACGTGATTAAAACATTCGCGGACACGTTTCTGAAAGTCTTGGTTGTCTAGCAGTCTTGTATTTAGTTTCCATAAAGCCCAATTTGGTTGTGCCTTTCGCGGTGCGTCTGTTCCAAAACGGATCTTTACAAGGCAGTGGTCCGAAAAAGAAACTGGTTTTACGTCATAAGCAGTCACGTGTGAAATCAGCGAGCTTGAGACGTAAATACGATCGAGTCTCGCATTACTTGAAGCATGAAGGTGAGTGAATCGGAGAGTAGTATTTTGGGAAGCTCCGACGTCAAAAAGGTGATAGTCGTATGCAAGAGTGTTTAGTATGTCGGAACTTCTATCGGGCCTTGCAGAAGGCACTGACCTGTCTTTTATGCTACACACACAGTTGAAATCTCCAAATAAAACAATATGTTTGTCGGTGCTGAGAAATGGGATCAGGCTTTCAAAAAAAGAATGACGCTGTCTAACGTCATTATAGGCATATATGCAAATTAATCGCCAGTAGGTACCGTATAAAAGAAAATCGCAACATATGAACCTTCCCTTATCGTCGACAGTGTGAGAAAGTGATGAATACCCTAAGTTCTTGTTCAAAAACAAAAAACACCCTCCCGACAAGCCATCAGCATGACTGACGCATACCTCGTAATGTGAGAGGAAGGGGTCCAGTGCACGAGCAGTATCCTCGTCAGACGATATCTTTGTCTCTTGAACAGCAACAAAGTCAAGATGTTCCTTTAAAAGGAGCTTGTACAATTGAGACTGCCGTGCACGTGAACACAGTCCTCTCACGTTAATGGTAGCGAAGCTGAGGGGTGATGTCAGGAAGGTTTCTAGTTAGGGTGGAAGCACATCGTCATCGTTCCTCACGTCCAGAGCTTCAGATTGCGACGTCTTGTTGCAGAGGAACTCTCGCACCGCAGTTGGCTTGCGTTTCACCTCACTTCCCTCGTCGTTCTTGCTCTCGGCAATGATACCTGAGGCGGAGGGCTGCGCGTTACTTGTCGTCGTAGGAGCAGGTCGTTTCACCGATGTGCCAGTGGACGTCGTGGCGCGTTCGCGTCGGGCAATTGCTTGCTGGCACGGTAACTCAGGTGGTGCGTTAAGGGATGGAAACTCGCTATCCGACCAATCTCTCTTCGTTTCCGTGACACACTCGGTTGGTGTTGACAGTCCTGGCAAGGTGCTGGCAGACTCGGGGTCAGAACGAAGTTCTTCTGGTCGCTGTGTAGACGTTTCCGACTCGGTCCTTTGTGTCTTGATAAGGGAAGAGGTGATGTCCCCTGTGGCATCAACAACTTCGCTGATGTTCATAAGATGATCGTGGACAACATCGTCTGCTAGGCTTCTCGACTGCCTCAGCTTGTCTGCGTAGGTGGTGACGCACTCACTCGCGTCGTGTCCGTAGCGTCGGCACTCGCCGCATCTCGGGACTCTGCACTCACGACGGATGTGACCAATTCTGTTACACCGAAGACACAGCGGTGGCCGACCAGGGACGAGCACCAGGCTTCGACAGCCGAAGACCGTGAGCTGATGTGGAATATTCGTTGCATTCATTCCTTCTCTAAGTGTCAGGGTCACCTCTTTGTTGAGCGTTTCCATTTGCTCCATTCCAGAGCACTTCCATTTTTCTCGTACAATGGAACGGACCGTGCCAAAAGGCGCCAGTGCCTCTTCGATTCTCTGGTTTTCCATGTGTACAGGTAACCAGAGAAGTTTCAGCTTCACATCTCTGGTGTCGGGATCGATGATGAGGCATCTGCGTCCCTTCACGGTAAGCTCCATTTTGTTTACAAGCTTAGTTTTACTTAAGGCGTTTGCGCACGTTACCATCCAGACATGGCTCATCTGAAATTGGCCTATTCCGATGATATCTTGGGCGTCGACAACATCTCGTAAGGCGTCACGGAAGTCTGGGGCTCGGTAGGGTCGTGCGGCGAGATCGCCATGAAGAAAGACGGAGTTCAGGCTCAAGTTACCTGTGGGTAGACGAGGTAGCACGGTCCGGTATTCATTGGTCAACATTTCAGTAGTACTGGCCGAAGCCTCAGCGGTTCCCCGGCCGGTGGCCGGTATGTTTTCCTTGGAGAACATCGAAAACACGACCGTTCTCAGCGGCGTCTTCTTCTTTCTCCATACCACCGACGCAGACGTAAGATGGCCGAAATGCGTCCCGTCAAACGGGCTCGAGAATACTCCCCTTGCGTAACGGCTGGTCTTAGAACGAGGTCACTTCCTGTTCAGTCTTTTGGCCGTTAAAGGGATAGTGAAGCGAAACTTGAAATACACCTATTATGGTCAGAAATAGGTTTAATATGATCAATAATAGCCGTAAATCATAATCGGGCGTTTGTATTTTGAACGGATGGCTATATTTTTCACCCTGAGGGGCCCGATTGGGCGCGCGCTCAAAAATCAGCCATCGGAGAGCGCGTTGCGTCTTGGGATATTGGGCGCATTCGTGACGTCACTTGTGCCACCCGGGAAAGGCTACGACGTGGATGTTGTGGTTACGAGCGTTGCCACTTGGTGTCGCGTCGACGATTTACGACCTGTGACAACGTGGCCGTTTGAGATGTGCAAGGGCTGCACGCACGCTGCACCACGGCAAGTCGGCCACCACGGCACAACTGAGAAAACCAGCTCTGAGGGCGGATTCTCAAAG